GAAGGGGGGGGGGGGAGGGGGGGGGGGGGGGGTCCGGGAATTTGTGAGTGACGCTGATGGTGAGGTGCCGCAGAAGTAGGCGTCTCCCGCTGCATGGACATCCACCCGCTCCAAATTGCACAGTGTGCTCCACTTCCTCCCATCCATCACCACGCCCCCCCCCCCCCCCCCAAACTTTCCAACAGGATCATCACGATGAAGGGGATTGCTGCAGGCATGCAGAACACCGGCTGATTGTTGCTGTGCATTACAAGAATCATCCCACTGTGTGGCACGCCCCATTGCCGTGCTGTCGCGGTGCTTCCACCCACAAGCTTTTGTGGGTGTGGGCTTGCCGGCGGGGAGCAATGGTCGCGGAAGCTGCTGTGGCGACCACATTCCAGGTGCAATCCTGCAGAATCCCTCTTGTTCATGTCGCTGCAGCCTTTTGAACTGCATCCCTGATGCTGGCACCAAGCTCCGATTGAGCGGCCCACTCGCATAGCATCCCTCTCTTGTGCGTAGTCAATGAAATTGAAACCATAACGATGCAGCGCACATGCCTCGACTTCAGCCTGGGATTGGGAGGAGGAGATGGAGGAGGTACGTGCTCTGAGCCTTCTCTGACACCTGGGCTGACCCAGCAGGGTGAAACGGGTGGTGTCGACATGAGCGATGCGACCATACAACGTATGTGGGAGGTGCAGTGGATGACTGGAAGCAATGCTACCGTGCAACTTGCGGTCTGCTCATCACGATTTTCGTCTGCAAATCCGGACCGCGTCCGGATCTTCGGCGGGTTTTAGATGGATCCCCTCGTGGAGGGGAAGACGAGTAGACGCATGCGAAACAGCAACACCATCTGGAATCGCTGGCGGGTCGTTCTGGGACTTAAAGGGGAGAAGCAGCATCAGGCATTTCCAAGTGCATTAAATACCGCATCCGAGGGTCGTCGTCACGGCAAACGAGCTCGGGCAGCATCGTCCCATCATCCGGTTTACCAAACCATGGCCATGGGACCCACCAGCAATGTCTACACGGCAGCGTGAGTGCTGTCAACCGATACAGGGCCACTTCGGCGTTAGGTTTCGTGGATGGAGCAAGTTGTGATCCCAATGGAAGCCTGTATGTGCACTCCCTCCCCTGTTGCATCATTGCAGGAAGAACAACCCCGAAGTGCTGGGGAGGAGGCGACGACGGGTTGAGGCCCTCGAATCAAGGATGACCCAGATGGTGACCGAGAACTGTCGCCGGAGACCCAGCTGGCCCGAAGAGAAGATCCGCCAGGTACCAAGCCTGTTTGCTTGATATGGTGACCGTGCATGTAAGTGGGAGCAGATTGGCATGATGTGCAGGTCGAGTCCAACATCTGACCACCAGCCTCTCATGCTCCATGTAGATGGACCAGCACTGCCGCCTTAATGGGCTGCGCTGCGTCATGTGGGACGATGAAGCCGCCGGATTCTACCTGGTGCGTGACTGAAATCCTGCCTGTGTTCCATCAGGAGCTGAGCCATGCGCCGCTGGTGCCCGCTTGCAATATATCCTGCGTGGACCAGGAATGAGCAGGCAGCTTACCACCCAGCCCGCCACACCCACCGGTCACAGCTGCTCAAGTGGGACTGGGAATGCAACAGGCCAGCCCAACCTACAGAAGGCTCAGATGCCAATGGCCCTGGCTGGTAGGTTTAGTAAAGGTTGGGAGAAGGGTGGCCCATGGAGCGAGACCTGGAGTGGGTTAGCCACAAACTTCGATGCACATACACATCCTCCCTATACCTCCACCATCTCCAAAGGTGGTGCAACGTAAAGCGCATCGTGGGACTCCCCCTCCTGGATCCCAGCCTGCCAGACGAGGGCCTGGCCGCCTGGATAGATGAGCACACCATGGCCATCCACTCCTGACCCATTCAAAGAGGCATCATGCTCCTTTGAGCAGCGCCAGGGTCATGATGCACTTGTATCACCCACGACTCACACTCGCTTGTTTTTTTTATATGCCCACTCATGCTCCTCAAATGTGCTCGCTGTTGGGTCTTAACTTCCACAAGTAGGAGTGTCATGGGTTTGCAGTTGGGTCTCAGGTGTAGGCGGCACCTGTCCGGTATCCAGACTCAGATCGCGAGGGACGGCCATGCCAGGCCATGTTGGGAGGGAATGCAATGCAGTGCCAGGGTTGCCCAGACCTTGGCACCTGAACACAGGGGCGTTGCAGTCGTCCAGAGAGGGGGTCAGGGGTGGGTAAACTTGAGGCCCGTCGTCAGCGCCATCACCCAAAGTCGAGCGCCGTGCCGCCGGGACCGCTGGGCCCCCCTTCCTCGAACCGCGAGAGGAAGAAGCGGAGGTCCAGGTGGCTCTGCGCTGGCAGGAGGGAGAGGAAGGTGCGGAAGTGGCGCTCGTATGCGGCGTGGGCCTGCCACATGGCACCGTGCAGCTCCGTCAGCGCCTCCGCCTCGATTTCCGGGGAGTTGTACACCTCGTCCGTCCATGTCCCGCTGGTCTCGCTTTCCTTGACGCGGGCCAGGTAGCCGCGCTGCGCAGCCACGGCCTGCTCTACCAAACCGGCCAGGCCGTGGATGGGCTCCTGGCGCATGGGGAGGGGGAGTCCAAGGCTTGCTCCAACTTGTAGGTCTCGTCTCAGCAGGCAGGCACAGGCATTGTGCTGGCCGCCAGACAGGCTCTCACCGAGACAACCACACAGTCAGTGCGACATCTGCAGGCCTGACTGGACAGCGCAGCGCACTCCTCACCAGCAGGGCGGCCATAGAGATGAGCGCCGCTCGGAGGCCAGTGTGCGGGTCCGGGGCCGCAGATGCCCCCTGCTGCCCTCCCAGGGAGCTGCCGCCCAGGCCTGGGCCCGTGCCTCCCAGGAACAGGCCCTGGAGTGGGTGTGAATCGGGAGTGTGTGGGTGAACATTGCAACGCGAGAATTGGCCAGCTGGAGTGAGCTGTGGACGTGAGTCCCACTCGCGAAACACCCGCAAGACAGAGCGGGAGGAGTGGAAGACCATCTGAGAAGCTCTGCGACGCCGGCCACACGCATCCAGCCCCACAGGGCCCCCCGCATCCCTCACAAGACCCGCTCCAGACTCCCCTCACCTCCACCAGCTTGGCGAGCATGCCCTCGTGCAGTCCCACCACCTCGTCCAGGTCCCGCGCCTTCCCCAGGCAGGCCCCGAACTCGGCCCAGGCGGGCTCGATCACCTCCAGCGCGATGTAGGACTGCAGGCTGGACGCAAACTGCGCCGCCTCGCTCCTCCAGGAGTGGAAGGCTCGCAGCATTGTGGGCACCTTTTGAGAATTGAGTGGGAGGGGCATGCCGAGGGGGTTCTCAAACGGGAATATTCGCTGGCAGGGCGGGTGTGGGGAACGGCGGCTGGATCCATCTAGGGATTTGTCCCTGCGAGGAGGATCCCTCGATACCCAGCCCGCCGCTTGCCCCACCGCCTTTCACAACCCAAGCCCTACCTTCTCGGCGCCGGAGACGTCAACGCCGTGCTCCTTCTCCAGAGCTCGCAGCGTGGCCATGGCGTGCGCGGCGTCGTTGAGGCGCGCCCAGGCACGGCCGAGCACCCTTTCCACCCGCTTGATCGTCCAGAGCAGGCGGAAGACCCGGAGGTAGGCTGTGACATGGAGGAGGGGGAGGGTATGGAGTGGGATGCAGGCACACTGTGCGAGGTTTGCAGCTGCCATTGCGAAGATTCATCCGGAAAGTGAAGCACTTGGCTCCTGGAGGCACACCAGGAGAGGGGAGCGGATAGTTTGGGCGAGGGCAGGCTGCCAGCCCACGACCCTCGTCTCCCCCCCCAGGCTGCCCAACCCCAGCCACGCCACACCCTCCCTTACAACCCGCCCCCATCACAAGATCCCCTCCCCCAGCCTCACATGCCATGGCGCTGGGGGCGAGCACCGCCGCCAGCGCGCCGTCGACGGCATACTGCAGGGAAAACACGTCCCAGCCCGAGTCGCCCTCCAGCGCCCGCGCCAGGCGCACGGTCAGCCGGTCCGCCACGTCGGTGTCCTGGCTGGAGGCGGTGCTGGCGCGCAGCGCGGCATCCAGGTGTCCCTGGCGGCGGGTCGTGGGTAATGAATGGATGCCTGATTGGGCCCCATGTCGGGCTGGCAAGCAGGGATGCATCGAGCGGTGGCGTTCAGCCCCGATGAAGATGATGGCGCTCGGCTCGTCGCAGCCCCCCTTTCCCATCCTCGGCCCCAAACCCCCAGATGCGAGCCCCTCTGGCGCTCCCCCTCTCCACCCAAACGTCCCACCCATTATGCGCATTACCTGCAGTACGTATTGCGACACCTGGCGTGCCGGCTTGTCCAGCTCGGGCTCCGCCAGGTCCAGCAGCGCGCTCACAAAGTCGCCCCGTCCCATCAGCATGTGGTGCTTCAGCGCCAGCAGGTGGCGCTCCAGGCCGTGCGCGCGGTGCAGGTGCTGAAGCAGATGGGCGCTGGCGGCCTGCTGCACGCCCGTCACCGCGTTCTCCAGCCACCTGCGAGGGCACTTGGATGAGGAGATTTTTGTGGGGAAGAGTCTCGAGGACAGGCAGTGGCCGGCCGGCAATAGCAGGTTGGCAAGTGAACCACAACTCAGAGCCGAGCCCAGGGACCCCACCAATGTGCAGTTGCTGAACATGCCGGCACGGTCATACAAACACAAGCAATACCCTACCCCCCCCTGCACGAGAAGTCCTCCGCCCACACCCTCGACCCACTTGAGCTGGAGGCAGGAGCCCCAGGGCGGGCAGAGGGCGCCCGCGTGCGCAGCCACGCCCTCCTCCCAGCCCACGTCCCCGCAGACATGCTTGAGGAAGTTGACGGTGCGCCCCGCGTCCAGGATGGAGCGGGCCAGGGCACCCGGCACCAGGCGCGGCTGGGCGTCGGGGTCGAGGCAGAAGCCGGTGCGCCAGCGCACCGCGGGGTGCGACGCGCCTGAGGCCGCGGCCGCGGCGGGGGCGGGGGCGCCGCCGCGCTCCCCCGCCCCCGCCGCCGCGTGCGTGGCGGCGACGAAGAAGTCGGCGCCCGGCTCCAGCGCGCCCTCCAGCACCCAGCATGCGATGCCCCGGAACATGGGCGCCGCCGCGGCCTCCAGCAGGGGGACCAGCACGGCGCGGACCAGGGGGTCGCCGTGGCGGGAGAGGGCGTGCAGCGCGTCCAGCGCCGCGCCCCCGCGCCGCGCCCCCGCGGCCCCCAGGGCGCCGGCCAGCACGCGGAGCCGGGTGCGGGGCTCGGCGAGCCACACCTCCAGGCGTCGCAGGGTCAGGGCGTCGGAGCGGGTGCCGGCCCTGGCTTCCAGGATGGCCAGCAGGCGGAGCAGGGAGGAGACCTCCCGGGAGGCTGCCGAGCCCAGGGCCTCGTGCAGCGGGGAGGGGGGGTCGCGACGCAGCTCCTCGATGCGACGCAGCAGGGCTCCAACCTCAGCCACGCGGGACACGGCCTGGCGCTGGGCGGGGGGCACCTCTGCCCCCGGGCCCAGCGCGAAGGAACCCCCATCCTTGCCGGGCTGCCACCACACATAGCGCCCGCTGATGCCCTGGCAGGCGTGCAGGGCCTCCTGCACCAGGATGTGCTCCGGCAGGACCATGGGAGTGCGCGTCGATGTCGAGCGGTGATCGCGGGGGGTGGGTGGGTCAAGTACTCGGATCCACCTGTTGATCTCGGTTCGAGGTGCGGTACTGGGGGATCGCCACGGTACTGCTTGCATGCCTTTGGAAGGGGGGGCAAAGCCTGACACCCCTCCGCTCCCACTCCCGGCCCAGGATGCTGACCAGTAGATCTTCGAAACGCCCCTGCAGCACCCGGTCGTCGGGGCTCGAGGAAATCCCAGCTCCCCCGACCCCTGGACCATGCCTCACGGAGGAAATTACAGGGTGGTCACAGGCTGTCGATCGTCCATCTCTCTGTCCGCGTCCGAAACGGGGGGTGAGGCAACTCAATGAAACGCAGTGCAGGTCCGTCGGTGCTGGGTGTGTGGGTGGGGTGTCTTGTGGAGCGCGCAGGTCGTCCCCCGCCGGCCGTCGCAGGGAGTTGCTGTGCACGGTGGGGCGCCGCGCCGCGCCGCGCCGCGCGTCTAGGCGAGCGCCGTGCGTGCCATGCGGCGGGTGTGCACCCCCGGTGTGGAGGTGGAGGCCGTCGGGCCGGTGAGGGCGGAGTCTGCGCCGCGCTTGGCAGACTGGCGCGCGGTGTACGAGGCCACGGGCGAGGCGGTCTGCGGCCGGGGGGCCGTGGCCGTGCGGCGCCTGCGGGGAGGTTGCGTGGGGGAGCGGCGGGTCACTCTCTGGGCGTGCCCCGCGCTGGAAGCGGCCAGGGCACCGCCCCCGTGCTTCCACACGGGCGCCGTGCATGGGGACGTGGTCGTGCCGCGCCCGCCCTGGAACGACAGAGCATCGCGGGCACCCGCCACCCCCCCCCGCCGCGCTAGCCTGCCGCCCACAGCGGGCGTGTGCGTGGGAAAGTCGGGCGCCTCGGTCGCGGCGCCGGACGCGAGCCCAGTGGTCGATGCTGAGCCGGTGGAGGACTGCCCCGCCAGCAGGCAGGCCGCCAGGACACCGACGAGGAGCAGGGCGGGCCCGCCAAAGGCCAGCACGGGGCCCAGGAGGGCGAGCGAGGGGAGGGAAGCACCCATCGTCCCTCGCGTCGCGCCCAGGACCCTCCCGGCCGGTCCCGCCTGGACCCAGGCACTCAGCTGCCGGGCGCGGTGGGCGAGCGAGGGCCCCGCCTCCTCCGCCGCCTGCACCCTTGCGCTAGCGGGCACGGGCGCGCCCGGGTCGTGCTCCGGCCCCAGCTCGCCGGGCGGGGGGAGGCGGGGCGCCGGCCCGCGGCGCGCCAGCAGTGCGGCCTCCGCGGCCCCGCGCCCGCGCCGCAGAGCCTGGCTCGCGCCCCTGGCGCCGCCGGACAGCGCGGCGAGCGCGCGCGCCCGGCCCTCCCGCGCCGCGGCGCGGAGGGCCGAGGGCAGCGCCGCCGCTCCCCATGCGTCGGGCCCCTCTGACCCCGGCTCGGGCCAGGGGGCAGGGCAGGTGTCGACGCCGCAGGTGTGGCGCGGGAGGCGGGCGGGCGCGGGACCGGGCTTCGTCCTGACCGGGGGCGCCAAGCCGGGGGCGCCGGCGCGCACGATGCGGGAAAGCGCGGCCGCGGGGCCATCCAGCACGGCCCGGGGGAGGGTCCAGGGGTTAACCCCTGCCAAGGTTGCAGGTGCGGGGATCGGTGCGGTGGTGGCCTGCGCCGCGGCGGCAGACTGCATGCGACGCCAGAGGGGCAGCAGTTCCCTCGGGCCCACGACCAGCTTGAGGCCTGAGCAGGGTGTCGGGACGGGGAGAGCAAGGGTTTAGATCACTGGGGAACCACTCTCAAAGTTCAGCATCAGTCACAATGTTGCTGGCTTGCACGAGACACAATCCTCGAGCAGACTCCACCCCCCCTACCAACCGCACCTGGCGCCGGGGAGGCGGCTCGGGAGAGGAGGTGCGGAGGCCCGGTCAGCGGCACCCAGGCCAGGCCAGCCAGGAGACCCAGCAGCACGAGCCCTCGGACCACGAGCGGCAGGGCTCCTGGGAGGCGGGTCAAGACGCGCGACACCTTGCCGGAGGAAGATGGGGCCGGGGCATCTGTCGGTGACAGCGTGACGCATCGGGGCTCGGCGCCAGCCTCAATGGTGCGGGTTTCCTGCATGGAGTGCGCATGCTTTGGGGATGTCTTATATGGGTCGACCCACTAGAGGTGAAACGTTGTGATGATATTCAAGTTAGATAGGCCTCAGCAATCCCCAATACTACCAGATCCAAGCCACAAGCAGATAAGGCACTGGCATCGTACCCCGGTCTGGGCGTAGTAGGAGAGCAGGGAGCTGCGTGCCTTCTCCGCAGAAGTGGCCAGAGGGGGGGGAAGGGCGGCCTCCTCAGCCTCTGCAGGGTCGACAGAAGGCACCAAGGCAGCTTCCCGGTCCACCCCCGGCAGGGGCTGGGCTGGACGCAGGGCCTCTGGCTGGGGCTTCTGGCCAGGCAGGTCGCCTGCCTCGGCAGCGACCCGCTGTGCTGTGACGAAGCTCGGCTCCTCCAGGCCCAGGGTGCGACTGGTGGGGCGCGGGGTGGGGTCTCCCCCCTCCAACAGATCAGTGGCCGCATCACTCCCGCAGGATGCTGGCGAGTCCACGGCCTCGGAACCCATGGAGGCTGCAGAGTGCTGCTGGGTTTTGAACGAAAGGACACGCTTGAGACGAATCAGAACCAACATGTCATCTGATGCCGGCATGCCCTAGGCTTGGAGCGACCAGCCTGGCATGCTGCCACGTCCCAACCGGTCTCACCTCGGTAGCCGAGGCCTCAGACTCCAGAGCAGCCCCAGCGTTGCCGCTCCCCGATCCCACCACGTGGCTGCGTGGGTAGACGCAGGCAATCATCTGCTTCTCGCTGCCGCAGGGAGTGGACAGGGCGCTGGCTGCGGTCGCGATCCGGGCATGGGCGGGGGTCCCAGGTTCGTCGGCGATGGCGAGCCTGTGGGAATGAGGGGGGAGAAGGAGGTCCTCCCAGTCATGGTCGCATGGGACGGAGGAGGAACGGAGCTTGGTGATGACATGAGAGCCCCAGGTTTGGTTGTTTTAGGGATGGGGACTCCTGTTCCGGTCAGTAGGAACTCACTCTGTGTGGGGAGAGTTGCCTGCCTCCCGGAACACCGGGTTGTTGGCCCGCAGTTTCCAGCCCAGCGGCTCCATCAGCGGAGTCGCCATCTGGTTGTAGAGCCATTTCCGTGCGCTTTTGCTGCCTGTTCGTCGGAAAGGTGGAGCAGATCTGTACGGGGTGCCCACCGCACCAGAGTCCGTTGCGGCAATCCCTTGATTGCCATCCCCCCCGGTACATGCGCGCCAGGCTTACTGGGTGTATTGCGAATGGCAGACAAATTAAAGGCGGCATCTTGCACGTTGCCCAGGATGCCGCGAGCAATAGGCGTGCTTTGCTGTGGAGTGTCCGGAGGTGACTTGTCCGCCATTCTGGCACCAGTGGGCGGAGCTTATGGTGAATAAGTGTCACCTCATGGGCTGTCTAATAAAATTTTGTATCAAATCGGCGATGTGTGTCGATGTAAAGTTCCTCTGCTCCGCAAACCTCCGATGAGGACAGGGGGGCATCTGGCCAGTCCGCGAGGAACTGTCGATGTCATTCAAAATCGCGCGCGAACGGTGGCTGCTTGCAGGGAAGGGCGAGTGTCTAACATCTGCTCAAGACATGAGCGATCAGACCTAGTAGGTATTGGGGCATGTGACCATAACCTGTCCTGTCGCAAGCTGGGGGTCATGGAAGAATGCTCTGGCTAAGCTGTCGCCAACATCAACGGGTGAGAGTTCCCTTTACTAGTGACGGGGAGAGAGACCCTAGGCATGTCCCACTTGCAGTGAGATGTTCATTACTACCTCAATTTGATAAGATTGTTGATGTCAAACATGTTTGGGCCTGCTTAAGCAGCACTGACCATGATTTGTGTACAGGGCTGGTCCACGGCCACATGTACACCGCATGGAGAGCAGGACCGACCTGTTCAAACTCGGCTGCGAGCTCGAGACAGGTGACGTAAGCGGAGACGGTTTCATGTACACGACACGACCATAGAGACGTCTTGCGGAACATAACAACTACAGTTGGCAGGTGCGGTCTTCGTAGGCGTACTGAAGCTCCGGTTTGCTGCTCGATTCCTGCACCACCGGACCCTTCCAGGCCGCAGCAGAAGGTGAGGTCCCACAATGCCACCACCGTGGCGAGGTATGAGGTTCAGCACTCGCACTTTAATAAGTAAAACGATCCATCTGCTACATAATTTGCCTTTTTATGGGCCCCACAACGCGTTTACGTAGCAGGGAGGATTAGGTTCCAGAGACCATGAGCACCACAGCGACCTCGGGCTCCATCGGGGGCCAGCCGAGTCCGATCAAAACAGGTTCAACGGAGCCTCTACAGCGGCTCGACACTGCTGCCGTGGCCAAGAGGCTACAGCAGGAGCTTATGAGCCTCATGAGCAGTGGCGAGAAGGGCATCTCTGCATTTCCACAGGGCGACTCCCTCTTCACATGGGTTGGCACAATTGAGGTGCGTCCTGCACATCTTGCTAGGAGCAGTCTTATTCTAGAGGATTCTACTGGTCCAGGCGCAGGAGCCCTGCCTGAGTGCCAATGCTGCTCGTGCATCGCACATGTCGGAGGGAGGCACCTTCAATACCTCTCAGGAAGGTCGAGTCTCCACGTGTAGAGCATGGATCATGCGCTGACACAATTCACTCCTGCCGTACCGCAGGGAGCATCTGGGACTGTTTTTGAGGAGCTTACATTCCGCTTGTCCCTGAACTTTGGGGCAGACTACCCCTTCAAGCCGCCGACAGTAAAATTTGAGACCCCCTGCTTCCACCCCAATGTCGACCTTCAGGGCAACATCTGCCTGGACATCCTGAAGGAGAAATGGTCAGGTATCAGGGGAGGAACTGCGTGACGGGGTCTTGCTGCAGTAAGACCTGTGCTGTGTGTCGGTGCCGGCACACTGGGTGTCTACTACCTGTTGGCTGGACAACACATTGCCAGTCTCTATGCTGTAGCCACTGCAAGCTCACCACTGACTACCACTCCACACTGTAGCCGCATACAGCGTCCGGACTGTGCTGCAGTCGATCCAGTCGCTGCTGGCGGACCCAAACAACGATTCGCCACTAAACGTCCAGGCAGCCAAGTTGTGGGACCAGGACCAAGCCGTGTATCGCCAGGTGACGAGAGGGGTGGAGGCTTGGGTACGCAAAGCAGAGAGGATGCTTCAGACCGGTTCTTCCTGACAAACGGAGCTACCCTTTCTTTGTGCAGATGGTGATGAAGACCTACAATGCTGCCAAGACGTCCTGAGGCTCCTGTCTGACGCGATTTTATGTAGTACGGTGCCGGTTGCAAGCAAATACACCTTGATCATCCAGCTTGGCAGAACATATTCGAAACTCACGCCAGGAGCAAGAAGGAGATTTGTCCTTTGAAGGTGGTGGAGCCCTTCAAATGTGCCCTTGAATCACAAGATATAATGCTAGAAACGCCGTTTGTACCTTTATAAACTGCATCGTGTGCACATTTGCTGCTCCAGCAGTCCGCCTCAAAGCAAAGGAAGCTCAAGCAGGCCCTGTTCGACACTGAACAATGAACGGGTAAGCGATGTCTCTTCGCTACATCCTGCTCATGCAACGGGATGTGGCAGCAGCCGCACGATACTACAATGAAGGGCTGGGGCTCCCCCTAAAAGTGTTGACGGAGCGATGGGCGGAGCTCCAAAGCGGGGACACGACCATCGCGTTGCAGACGGCGCCGGGGTAGGCACGATGGGGGCGGATGGCTGAACGCTTGCTGTAATGACAATGCATGCAGCAATTTGGTTTTTGTGAACCTGCGTGCACGCACCATTCTCCATACCATCCATGCTGTCACTGCATTTGCAGAGAGGCCTACTGTACAACTGGGTTCAGTCCAGTGTTGAGCTTCAATGTTGAGAGTATCCAGGATACACTGACCCGCCTCTTGACGATGGGAGGACGCATGGACGGCAAGATCCACCACTCTGTGTATGGCAAGGTAATGCACGCCTTTTGTGTTGCCGCCTTGTGTATGAACATTGACGCGATACTTGCATGAATCCAGTTTCTGCTAGCGACACTCGTTCTTTCTGTCTCAGGTTGCCTCCATCCGAGGACCAGATGGGCACATGATCAGCTTGGTCGAGGAAGACTGACAGACATGGCGCTGGGATGTGACTCTGGCCCAAGCTCAGTACTCGGCCTTCAGTCCTGCAGTTCCCTTGATTGTGCCCTTGCAATTGCAGGCTTCGGTTTCTTCCTTAAGGAGAGTGGCCTTCTGTGCAATTCTGATGTACTGGAGGCTGTGTTTCATCTGTAGCTGGTTGAAGCCCTTCAGTTGTGAACACGGCATTTTGGGTGCGTTTCTGCACTGGCTCCAGCTTGTGGAATTCGCCCTTTCCTTGACCCATTTGCGCTTGCCTGCCGGAACAATCCATACGGAGGCCCGCTCCCTGCCACGTCCAATACTTGGAGTACAGAAGTGCTACCTTGTGGAATATTCTCCTTGTGGAGAGACGCGATCGTGAGACCAGTAAACCTTGGCGCCCCCCCCCACGAGTTGTTACTCGCTCAACCCCGCGGTTTGTGGAGCGCTTCGGAGTGACCGGGGTTGCTCCGTGGCAGGTCGGGCCGCCTTAAGGGCAATATTACCGTATTGAGAGCGGGGTGAAGTCGCCATGCGTCCCCTGGAGGAGCTGGACTACCTGCTCCCGGACTGGTGAGTGGTTGCAGGGCGGTGGCACTGCCTTGAAGGTGGGCCTGGCGTCTTACCCTGCGGCGCCTCGACACCACCTTCCATCCACGAGCACAGGTGGAAACAGATCGACAGAAATGAGTCCTGGCAGACGGGGGCCTACGACACCCTGGCCGTCTCCTACCTCGTCATAGCCCTGGTGGCGCTGGTGAGCATCAATGGGGTGCACTTTCAGGGCACCAGGATGGGTCAGGGCCCCCCCACTCCTCACTCGATGCATATGCCAGCCTTCACCGTGCACCTCCCCCCCCCTTACCCCCACCAAGGTCCAAATCGTGCGCATTCAGCTGCGGGTGCCCGAGTATGGCTGGACCACGCAGAAGGTGTTCCACCTCCTCAACTTCCTGGTCTGCGGCCTGCGCTCGGCGGTGTTCTTCTTCCGGGGCCAGGTCCAGCGCCTGCCCCTGGTGGTGGTGCAGGCGGGCCTGCTGGACCTCCCTGGCCTGCTCTTCTTCTCCACCTACACCCTGCTGGTCCTCTTCTGGGCCGAGATTTATTACCAGGCGCGGTCCCTGCCCACCACCGCCCTGCGGCCCACCTTTGTCATCATCAACCTCATCGTCTATGGCATCCAGGTGAGGCTTGAATGTGTGTTACTGTGAATGTGCCTGGCTGTCGTGGTAGGAGGAAGTGGGAGTGGGTCTTGCACACTGCATGCTCTGCAAAACCCCCCAGGTTTCGCTGCCGCATCTCCCTGTTTTGCTCACCGCTGCGCCACGCATGAAAGGCTGGGTCAGGCTTTTCTGAGTGCTCTGCTCGTGACAGTGACCTCCCCTTGGCGATGGCCCGTGCTGCAGTGCCGCCCCTCCGTATGGCCATCCCCCCCTTCCCACCTGTGAGAGGATGCCAGTCCTCTCGGCCTGTGCTTTACCCTCCTCCACCCCCCAAAACTCTCTCACCACAGTCTGGCATCTGGGTGTTCATCTCCCTGGCCAGGGACTCCCAGGCGCAGCTGGGCAAGGAGCTGTCTGGCTGCTTCCTGGCCTGCGTCTCCGCTGCCGCGGCCTTCGCCTTCCTCCTCTTCGGCGGCCGGCTCTTCTTCATGCTGCGCCACTTCCCCATCGAGTCGCGGGGCCGGAACAAGAAGCTGCGCGAGGTGGGGGCCGTGACCAGCATCTGCGCCACCTGCTTCCTCTTCCGCTCCGCCATCACGGCCTGGTCGGCCTTCGACCAGGAGGACGCCGACCTGGATGTGCTCAAGCACCCCCTGCTCAACCTCATCTACTACGGCGGCGCCGAGGTCATCCCCTCTGCCCTCGTCCTGTTCATCCTCCGCAAACTCCCGCCCAAGAAGGCGCCCGCGGGCTACGCGCCCATCCCCACGCAGTAGGGCCGGGAACCTGGTCCCCCCTACACGCGCCGAGCGTCCCGGGTCTGGCGCACCAGCTCCGCTCCTCCGCTGCCACCCTGCGCGGATCGGCGCCGGCCGCGGCACTCGCTCGGGACGCCTGCTGGTGGTTTACTGTTCCTCTTTGTGCATGCACCCCCATGCTCCTCCTGTCCCTCCTGATCCTTGAGCTCGCACATGCTATTGGCGGGCCAGCCCGGGCTGCCACCCCTGGTATGCCTGCAGCTCCTCCCATCGCTATTTTTTTCCCTTGAGTGTGCGTGCGGTTGGTGTGTATTGACCTGACAGCAGCAAAGGCTCGAGTGAAGTCTTGGGAAGTAGGCATTGCAATGTCAAAGTAAGGTGAGCGTCAGGCGTCTTGCCCCCTGTTCAGAGGTCCGCAGCACCACAGGGCCGGATCGCGATCCCTCGCGATCTGGGGGGGCGGGGTGCGCCCAGGGCAGACGACAAGGAGTGCGCATATGTACGCACACAGGCGACAAGTTCCCAGACCATCGTCCATTTGTCTCTTGACCATCCCGACGCGCGGTTGCGGCCGCATGGTGTGCTAGACCCCTGTCAATTGGCCGAGCGCATCGACGATGAAGCTCGCTGGATCCAGGCCATGCGGGGGTGCGCCTTCCTCCACACCCTCGGCCGCAAGGAGCCTACAAACTGGCGTGAAACCAGCATTACCTACATCACTGCATAGCGCAAGGGGGAGGCAGTCCCAGATCTGCAACGTCTGGCTGGAGAACAGGTGTGGGGTGCATGGCTTGCTCGTAGCCCGCATGGAGCCATGCCCAGCGCGAATCGCAAGAGGAAAGGGCCTGGCCTAGCCAAAAACTCGCAATCTATCGCATCAGGCCCCTCAAACCCGCTTGCGGCGCCGCAGGGCGGAGGTGTCGGTCCATGTCCCAGTGGAAACGGCCTGGGATCTGTGGGACGACAAGGAGCGCATCCCTGACTGGATGCCATGGATCAGCAGTGTCCAGGTAATGGGGGCGTTGGGTGCGAGCGTGTGATACGACTGTATTTGACACGAGCACCTGGCATGTCGTTGCCTCACCGAGTACATTCCAGGCCACGTGAAGCCGGTGATGGGAGCACGAAGTGTGGACCTCCTGGTATTATTGAAACCAGCAATCACAGCTCACCGCCGCACCCATGCTCACTCCCTCCCTGCATCCCTCACAGACTGACGCACAGAACCCGGCGCTCTCGCAGTGGCGGCTGTCCACTAGCATGTTTGGGCGGGGGTGGAGCCTGAGCTGGCTGTCGGAGTCGCTGCCGAACAAGCCCCACACCCAGATGCAGTGGCGCTCCGTCCCGGGCTACAAGGGTCCAGGGGGGTCCCTGGAGGTGCCAAACAGGTGTGGAAGTCGTGTTTTGTCTTGTGCTGCTGGAGACGTGCCCTTCAAAGGGTGTCGTGAGGAGTCCAAGGTCCCTCACCACTGCCAACTGATCCCTCCTTTCCTTGCAACCGTTCTCCAGGGGCCAGCTGCTGTTCCGGCGCTTTGGCCCCGACTCATGCATCGTGGAGCTGACCATCGGTTACGAGGTCCCCGGCCTGTTGCAGCCCTTTGCCAGCGTGCTGACCCCCACCGTGGAGGGCATCTTGCGCACTGACATGCAGCGCTTTGCACGCTATGCCGTGGACCACCAGGCACGACCACAGGCTTGAAGGGTGAATCGCGGCGGCTGCTGCTGCGGTCTCGCCACCCTGACACCATGAACAGTCTCTTGTGACAGGCATCAGTGCAGGCAGCGATTCAGCGGGGCACACACGGCGGTCGTCAACCGTGTGGCGGGGGGGTGCATTTGGTCGCAGGCAGGGGGGCGTGGGGAAGGTCTTGCACACTGATCCCCGGCTCGCCCGCACACCAGTCCCGCGCTTGCCCGGCCCCGCCGGGCTCACATGCGGGGCAGGGCGGGCCCCGCGTGGGAGGGCAGGGGGGTCTCGTCGCAGCAGGGCTTGGCCTGGACGGAGCGCGGGTCGCGCTCGGGGGGGATGTCGATGGCGGGGTTGACATCGAAGAAGTGGTAGGGCTTGAGGTGGAACCCGATCTGCTCCACGGGCATGACGGGGAAGTCCTCGGTGCGCACAAAGTGGGTCAGGCCCACGTTGAACCAGACCACCACGTCGGCGTCGGCCACGGGGCGGTCTGCCTTGGTCCAGGCGCGGATGCCGCCGTTGGCCTGCGGGCGGGGGTCGTGCGGGTACTCCCCCGCCGGGTTCATCTCGTCCTCGGCGTAGGGCGTGACCCACAGGTGCTTGGTGGCGAAGAAGCCGCGCTCGTAGTGGTCGGAGCCGACGCCGGCCAGCATGGGCGGGGAGGCGGTGGTGGGCATCAGCTTCCAGCTCACAGGCTTGCCGCTCAGCGGGTTGATCACACGCGGGTTCATGATCTGCGGGGTTGGGGGTTGGGGGGATGACCTGGGTTGGGAGGGTACAGCGGGTGCAGTGGTGGGAAGAGCATCGGGGTGCGAGGCTGACATGGAGGTACAGGGGCCAGGGGATCAATGCTCATCTTCTTTC